CTGGCCTTGAGGTCACTTTGTAGCCCAGGCTGGTCTCGAACTCGCAACAATCCTCCTGCCTCAGCCTCCCGAGTGCTGGGATTACAGGCGTGCTCCGCCACGCCCGGCCTTATTTCATCACATTTAAGAGAAATGCCATCGAATGTACCCGATCTACTCCTGCCATGACTTCTCCGCAATACAACCCCAAAGATTTCCTTTATGAAATAACGTGAGGTCTCCGGGGTAGGAAGATGCACTTACGATAAGACATTCCGACACCAAACCTCCTAATTTCGCGCACGCTCAGACCCGGCCCGGGCACCTAGCCTCATTGATTGGCTGATGCTGAGTGACGCCATCAAACCGCGACGCTGCGTGGTGGCTGCGGGGCTATGCGTCTGGGTAATCGCTGGTGGCTGGGGCGTCTTGTGCTGTGGTGCTTTGACTCCCTACCGCTCTGCTGTGCCAGGACCTGGGGTGGTTGTAGGGGCCGGATGGCAGAAACACTGTCCACGGGAGTCGGGGCAGCGGGCGGACTGAGGGCTCCAGCTCAGCAAAACGGAGACGGTGGTAGTGACGCTAGGGGCGAGCCGCTCCTGGGGCCCCCAGAGCCAGCGGGCCCTGTAGCCGAGCCGACTCCCGGGAGCGGGGAGCAAACCTCCGCTCCAACCGCCGACGCAGGCAAGCGGAAGAAGCGGCGGGGCGCTGCTGGAGAGCGCGTCGTGCCGCCCCCGAAGAAGCGGCGAACTGGGGTCAGCTTTGGTGACGAGCACTTCGCCGAGACCAGTTACTACTTCGAGGGCGGCCTGCGCAAGGTGCGACCCTATTACTTCGACTTTCGGACCTACTGCAAAGGCCGCTGGGTGGGCCACAGCTTGCTGCACGTCTTCAGCACCGAGTTCCGAGCCCAGCCGCTGGCCTACTACGAGGCAGCAGTCCGGGCCGGCCGCCTGCACCTCAACGAGCAGCCAGTGCATGACCTCAGCGTCCTGCTCAAGGTGAAGTTCTGGGGACACCCTTGTGAGTAACACTGGCTCACCGTGGTTGTGAGGAGAGGCAAAGCAGTGTCAGCACTTGGAGATCCCCTCTCCCGTCCCAACTGTCAAACCACGGGTGCGGTCCAGTTCTCCCATTTTACAGATGAGGAAACTGAGGCTCAGGGTAGTTCAGTGACTTGCCCAAGAGCATGTCGTCAGCCGTGGCAAATCTATGTATGGAGTCCAGATTTCTGAATTTAGCAGGATAGTGTTTTTCCAAGGTCATAAGCAATGACTTATGAAGCTTTTTCCTCTATTTAAAAGACATTTACTGCGGGGCATGATGATGTAATCCCAGTCCTGTAATCCCAGTCCTCAGGAGGCTGAAGCAGGAGGATCACTGTGAGTTCGAGGCCAACCTAAACTACATAGGGAGACCCAGTCTCAAAGCCCCAAAAGCCAGGTGTGGTGGCACAGGCAGGAGGATTGCCTTAAATTTGAGGCCAGCCTGCACTATGTATTGAGTTCAGGACCAATCTGAGCTATATAGTGAGACACTGTCTAAAAACAAAAAAAACCCAACTTGATTGTAGAATATATACCAATAGGCAAAACCAAAAAACATCCACAATCTCATCACCCAGGGATATAATCATTAACCTTTGTGTTTGTATTTTCACACCATGAGATCATAGGATGCAACACTGCTTTCTCTGCTTACGCCTGTATTGTGACCATTCTTCCATGTCAGTAAGGAATAGGAGGTGGGTGCGACTGACTGGTTGTAGACTGCTGGTGTCCAGGCTGATGGGTTACCTGTGTTTTTGGCAGGACAATGACTTCTTGAGGAACACGGTGCACAGGCATGAGCCACCAGTCACAGCAGAGCCTGTTCGCCTGCTAGCTGAGAACGAAGATGTGGTGGTTGTGGACAAGCCTTCCTCCATTCCTGTCCACCCCTGTGGTCGCTTTCGACACAACACAGTCATCTTCATCCTGGGCAAGGAACACCAATTGAAGGAGCTACACCCATTGCATCGGCTTGACCGCCTAACCTCAGGGGTGCTCATGTTCGCCAAGACAGCTGCTGTCTCAGAGAGGATTCATGAGCAAGTTCGGGACCGGCAGGTGAGCTGGGCTGTCTCCTGCAGGCTTAGTACCAAGCACATTAGAGCCTAGTTTACTGAACGATTATTTCAGCCCTGCCAGGTAAATGTTTTTTTAAACTCACATTTTCTAAATGAGTTAATGGGATTTAAAGAAGTAAGTAAAATGTTCAGGATTACTAAACTCACAAGTGGTGGAGCTGGGCTTTGAACCCTGTTTGATCTAACTGGTGCATTCCTTACCACTCTGCAGAAGGTGTCAACTCCTTGAGCTTAGGCTTTGTGCTGACTTTCTCCCTCTTCCTCCTGTGTAGCTGGAGAAGGAGTACGTGTGCCGAGTAGAAGGGGAGTTCCCCGCCGAGGAGGTGACCTGCAAGGAACCCATCCTAGTGGTATCTTACAAGGTAGGAGTGTGCCGTGTGGATCCCCAGGGCAAGCCTTGTGAGACCCTGTTCCAGAGACTGAGCTACAATGGCCATTCCAGCGTGGTACGATGCCGGCCTCTCACAGGCCGGACCCACCAGATTCGAGTCCACCTGCAGTTCCTGGGCCACCCCATTCTCAATGACCCCATCTACAATTCAGTCGCCTGGGGCCCTTCCCGAGGCCGAGGTGGCCACATTCCCAAGACAGATGAGGAGTTGCTCCGGGACCTGGTGGCAGAGCACCAGGCCAAACAGAGCCTGGACGTGCTGGACCTCTGTGAGAGTGACCTGGCCCCAGGACTCCCAGACTCTACAGCTTCCTCCTCACAGCTGGCCAAGGACAGCCTGGAGGAGTTGACTACCACTGCTCAGAAGACAGATGGAGTAGTTGAGGCAGCCCCTCAGGATCTGGGCACGATGGCCTTGGCATCAGAGAAGGCAGCTGAAACAGACGTTACAGATCAAGAGACAGACCCTCTCTGTACAGAGTGTCGACTGGTGCGACAGGACCCCTTGCCCCAAGACCTTGTAATGTTCCTGCATGCCCTCTGCTATAAAGGGCCAGACTTTGAGTATGTTTCACCCATGCCTGCCTGGGCTCAGGATGACTGGCAAGGGGACTGAGAGCTTCTTGGATGTGGGGGACAGGGATGAGGCAGGGACTTCCCCAGGGCCGGGTACTCAGGGTTTCTCCAGGAGTGGGGGTGGGCTCTAAAGGGACCTGTTCGTACTTGCTACCTCCTTCCTTCCTCCTCCAGCTGGAGTCAGGGTTATTTTGGCTTTGTAAATATATCCCCTTTTCTAATACCTTGTGTATCTGGCTTTCTTACTGTTTGTTTCTTTTCTTTTTCAAATTGAAGTAAAATTCACACAATGAACCACCTTAAGATGTATAGTTTAGTGACATTTAGTATATTCACAGTGCTGTGCAACCATCACCTCATATAATTCCAAAACACATTTCTTACCCTAAAAAGAAATCTGTACCTATTAAGCATTTCCTGTCATCCCCACCACCAGCCCGGGTAACCATTTATTAACATCTGCCTTAATGGATTTGTCTGTTTGTATAGGTGGAATCATATACTGTGTGACCTTTTGTGTCTTTCACTTAGCATAATGTTTACAAGAGTCATCTAATTTATAGCTTGCATCAGTATGTACTTCATTTTTTATGGCAGTATTCCACTGCATGGGTATACCACATTTTGTGTATTCATTTGTCAGTTGATGAATAATTACACTGTTTCTACCTTTTGGCTATTGCGAATAGTGCTGCTATGAATATTTGTGCTTTACAAGTTTTTTGTTTGAATACATGTTTTCAGTTCTTTTGAAATCCAAGAGTGGATTTGCTGGGTTAGATGGTAAGTCTGTGTTTAATTTTTGAGGAACCACCAAACTGTGTTCCACAGTGACTGAACATCCCTACGAGCAGTGCACAAGGGATTGCAGCTTCTCCACGCCCCGAAGATGATGCCCAAGGTTAACAGTTGTGGTAAGTGCAGTGAGGTGATGAAATCACAAAGCTGGTCAGTTCAGGTGCCAAGGTCCATCTGTCCTTACAGACAATGAGCCAATCCAGGTCAAACGAACACTGCAGCTAGAGGAAGCAACGACAGCTTTAGATAATTACAACACAACCAAGTAATCAGACCAACTCTTCCTCTTTGAATTAAAAAAGATACAATCATTCCTCAGTTATTCTCAGCAAATGACAATGAAAGACAATTACAGGGGACACTGTCTGGTAACCTAGTATATGGAATCACTCTCATAGCAGAAGGAGGTAGAAGGACTCCCACACAGAAAGAACACCAGAAAATGTACAGATGGTCATTTGACTCACATGAGTCAAGGGCCCTGCCCTGTCCAGAACATAACCATAAGATACAGAGTTTATTCCATTACTGTTTAATAGTCTCTTTGCAATCAGTTTGTCAGGACCGATAGCCAGGAGGAAATTTGGCATACATGGACATCAGGTGTTTGAGCATAAGAGCAAACAAAAATCACTGCATTTGAGCCATATGTGGAAGTTCAACTTGATTCCCTTGGCTGATGGAAAAGGTAGATCATCGGGAAAAAAAAGTACAGAATAAATACTGTCCAAGAGACTAACAGAAGATGAGCCATGTCAGAGGTGTGGGTTCAAAACACTGACACTAGTAACTTCCATGGGAATTAACAGAACACCTGTCACACAGTCTATCACTTTGCCAGAGGCAAGGACAAGGACAACCATCTTTTCCCAAGGCAGCCGGGAACAGGCAAGAGGCAACCCCAACAGACCATCCTGAGCTCTTTGTGGTTCAGTGTCCTGGAATGAGGCCCAGGACAATTCACTTTCTAGAGCAGACACTGCGCAGAGATGAATGGTGTCCAAGAACAATTAGGGTCTTTAAACCAGACCTGCAAATCAGCAACAGACTTCAGGAATGAGGCAAATGTAAAATCCAAGTCACCTGTCTTTCCTACTATTTATATGATTAGCGTTGCCTTTCTTATTCAACTGCAGGTGCTTCTGGCTGAATTTTTAAATGAGGGTTCCGGGGAGTAAGGCCACCAGAGTAATGGCCAAGAGCTTAGCGACTGCTTCTCAGAAGAAGAGAGCAGCCAGAGAAGTGGGGGTTGACAGGATGGAGCCTGTCCACATACAGATGAAATCCTATGGAATCAAACCTTCCTCTGCAGCAGGGCTACTTTATCAGGAAAGTAGGAGACCACCAGCTGTTTGCAAAAAACACTGAACAGCAGGTAGCAACCCAAGGCACCCACCAAGGTCAGCAGAAGCCCCAGCCATGGCCCAAACATTCAGGAAGCTGGAGCCAGGGACAGCAAAGCCCCATTTATAGAGGTAAGTGCTGCAGAAGGGCAGGAGCACGGATCTGTCAAAGGACCTCGGGGAGCTCTTGCAGCGCTGCCATGTCGAAAGTGAACCACAGTGACATGCCTTCAGGTTCCTCCATGGGCCCAGGTCTCAATCCTCGGGGTCAGCAACGTGGACAGCAGGTATAAAGCAAAGGTGTGGCTGGTGAAGACCAGGAGGAGGCTGAGCAGTGGGACAGCATCAGCACCACAGCCCCACCTGTCCCTGGGCCACACATTTACAGCCAATAGCAAAAGCATAGTCTGTATAACATGCTGTGCTAGGACAATAGATATCCATATAGTAAACAATGAAGTGGAGCTCCTACCTCACATCACATGTAAAAATCAACTGAAAATGAATCAAAGGCCAGAAGAGCTAAATGATAAGTTCTTAAAATAGAGAACTAAGTATGAATTTGGATTTGACGATGGATTCTTAGCTATGTAACACCAAGAATACAATCAGCAAAGTAAATGTATTTTTTGTTTGTTTGTTTGGGTTTTTTTTGTTTTGTCTTGTTTTTCTTCCGGTACCAGGAATTGAACTCACGACCTTGCTCTTGCCAGGCAGGCACTGTGCTGCTGAGCTAAATCCCCAGGTCCAACAAAGTAAATGTAAATAAATAAGATTTCATCAAAATTAAAACTTCAGTGAGCCAAAGTATACTATCAATAAACAACTGAGCATGGTGGCCCACACCTGTAATCCCACCATTTGGGAGGCTGAGGCAGGAGGATCACCTCAAGTTTGAGGCCAGTCTGTGCCACATAGTGAGTTCAAGGCTAGCCTAAACTGCACAGTGAGACTCTGTCTCAAAAATTTTAAAAAATTTAATTAAAAAAATAAGTAGGCTGGGCATGGTAGTGCACACCTATAATCCCAGCACTCAGGAGGCTGAGGCAGGAGGCTTGTTGCGAGTTCGAGACCAGCCTGGGCTACAAAGTGAGCTCAAGGCCAGCCTGAACTGCATAGTCTCAAAAAGACTAAATAAGTAAATAAAAATTTTTTTAAAAAGTAAACTGAAAAGATCTTATAGAAAGGCAGAAAATTCCAGAAATGGAATTGTTAGATCATTTGGTAATTCTATTTTAAACATTTTTTAAAGAATCTTCAGATAGGGGGCTGGGGATTTAGCTCAGCAGCACAGCACCTGCCTGGCAAGCGCAAGGTCGTGAGTTCGATTTCCAGTACCAGAAAGAAAAAAAAAAGAAAGAAAAAGAATCTTTAGATAATTTCCATATTGTTTTTCATACCAGTTGCACCACTTTACACACCTAACACTACATAAGGGTTCTAACTTCTCCACATCCTCTCCAGTGTTTACTTGTTCGCTTTCTTTCTTTCTTTCTTTCTTTCTGGCAATGCTAGAAATTAAACTGAAGGCTTACCCATGCTAGGGAAATACCCTACCACCAAGCTATATCCTAAGTCAACTTTCTGGTTCTTGATAATGGTCAGCCTAATAGGTATGAAATGAAAGAAAAAAATGAGATGTTCACTAAAGTTCATTCATTCAGCAGGAATTTGAGTGCTAACTATGTGCTGGGTAGGCTTTAGATCTATGATGGTGAATAAGAAATGTCCCAACCCAGTGACCAAAGCACCCAGGATGTGCTGCAGGACCTCTAGAGCTCATGGTTGGATTAACCCATGCATGAGCTTCCCCTATCACATCAGAATGATTCTTACTGAAAAGGAACAAGTTGTTCCTAAACCAGAAGATCAGACTGCACAGAAAAAGCTATTCTGAAAGAAATTTCAGTGGGGACAGTGAATTCTTGAAAATACATTAAGCATGAAATAAATGCAAATAAAAGTGAAAGAAGATGTCCATGCTCTTACAGAAGAAATGGCACAATGTGGGAAAGCTCATCAGCAGTTCCACACTGTGTATGTTAGAGGGGAGGAAGAGGCTATGTCCACACCTGGTTCTTTCTGGGATTCTGAATGAGAACATTAGCATTTGCCCATTTTGTCTTAGCTCCTCTCTTCTGCATATCACACTCTCTGGTCCTCTTTGTCCTAGTCACAACATTTTTGTCTGTTTTAGGGGCTCTTGATCTAAGGACACATGAATGGTGTTATGGTTTGTGTCTAGATGTGCTCTCAGAGTCTCATGCCATCATAGGTGGGGCTCTTTTAGAGGTGGCTGCACCTAAGTGTGTGATGCTGGAGTCGAGGGTGTATGATTACTAAATCAGTCTGCTGATTGGTTTGGCATGGCCCTAATTCCAGCAGCAGAAAGAAGCTGCTGAGGTCCCTTCCTTGCTCTGCTACCTTCTGCCCACCATGAACTGTTTCTCCTCTGCAATGCCTTTGTACTACACCACCCTGCCTTGGTCTGAAACCTCTACAAACTGAGCTAAATAAACCTTTCTTCTGTTAACTTTGGGTTTTGGGTATATTGCCTCAGCAACAAGAAGGGTAACTAAGACAAATGGGTTTGAACTTGTATGCAAAAATTTGTTTCCATATATATATATATTGTTGTTGTTGTTGTTTTTGTTTTTCTCCGGTATCGGGAACCGAACTCACGACCTTGCGCTTGCCAGGCAGGCGCTTTGCCGCTGAGCTAAATCCCCAGCCCCTTCCATATATATTTTTCTGAAGAAAAGAGTCTGTATATTTCAGCCCATCCTTTAAAGCTGCCTTGTCCAAAACTAGTCATATCTGGCTATTTTAAACTTATTAAAAATAAGCGAGGTGTGGTAGTACGCACTTATAATCCTAGCACTTGGGAGGCCGAGGCAGGAGGATTGCTGCAAGTTCCAGGCCAGCCTGAGCTATAAAGTGAGTTCAAGGCCAGCCTGAATTGCGTAGAGGCTGTGTCCACACCTGGTTCCTTCTATGATTCTGAATAGAAACATTAGTATTTGCCCATTGCATAGTGTGACCCTGCCTCAAAAAGACAATAAATAAATAAATAAATAAACTTATTAAAAGTAAATAGAATTTGAAATGTAGTTCTGTTGCATCAGCTGTATTTCCAGTGTTTAAAGCTGGTTTAGTAGCTACCATGTATGGACAACACAGGTAAAAAAACATTCCCATTTCTGCAGAAAGTTCCCTTGGACAGTATTTCTTCAAAAGGTTTCCAGGCAGGAGGCCTGGTCCATGTGAGACTGGGCCTTACGCGGAGGCACTGTGCACCCATCACACAGATATGGGTTCTGCCAAGCAGGGTCCAGGCTGGCACAGGTGCCCTAGAGAACATGGCGCTGTCTGCCTCTGCTGCAGAACTCGATGCTGTGGTTGGGTATTAAGAGGACATTATCATGGGTGATGAGTCCCACACTTGCAGAAAGATTCCATAAACAAGTACTACAAAGACTGTGAAAACACAGAGGAAAATAGACTCACCCACACTCCCATATTTAATGAATATATTTCTCTAGTGG